CCACAGAGTAGCCCAGGCTGATGGGTCAATGGCAGAACAAGAGTTCAAGGATTGGCCTGGGGAGTCCTAGGGAAGAAGAGGCTTGTCTGAGGCTGAGCACAGCCTTCCAGAACCAAGTGCTGAGGACCTGGTGACTTAAACAATGGAGATTGGTTCTCTCACAGTTCTGGGGTCTGGACGTCCAAGGTCAAGATGCCAACGGGGCTGGTTCCCTCTGAGGGCTGTGAGGGAAGGACATCTGTTCCAGGCTTCTCTCTGTGTGGCTCGTAGATGGCCCTCTTCTTCCTTCCTCTGGACCTGTGTCATGTTGGATGAGGGCCCATTCTCATGGTCTTGATTATCTTTCTAAAGACCCTGGGCTAGTCAGCTTTCCATCCCTGTGACCAAACTACACAACAAGAGCCATTTAAAGGAGGAAAGATTTATTTTGGCTCACGGTTTGAGGATTGGTCAGCTCCACTGCTTTGGGCCAGAGGTCAGGCAGAGCGTCATGGCAGAAGTTGTGACCTGGACCGTGTTCTCAGAAGAACTAGCAATGCAGAGGAAAGCTGCTCAGCTCCTGGAAACTGGGAAGCAGAGAGAGAGAGAGGTGTTGGGGGTGGGAGGGAGCACTGGAGAGAAGAGGTACTCTTCCAGGGCACGCCCTCCGTGGCCTGCTTCCTCCAACTGGGTCCTACCTGCTGGTGGGCCTTTCTGCTACCAATGGATTAATCCACTGAGATCAGAGCCCTCATGACCAATCTCTCCCCAACCGACGACACACATGATTTGTTGGGGGACATTCCAAAATCCAAACCCTAGCAGMCCTTGTGCAAGTATATCCCATTCATAGGTACGAGGGGTCAGGACTTCAGCTTCTGGGGGAATGGGGTGTGGATTCAGCCTCTAACATGATGCTGGCCAGAAGCTGTCTTGCAGGACTGGCTGGAGGCCTGGAATGATGTCCGAGGAGTCTGTTTGTCTCCCCAGCTCCAGAGGGACTGGTCCTGAGCCTGCTCCTTTCTCCTCCAAAAGGATGCACTATATTGCTGCCCTAGGAGGGTCCCACCTGATCCCAAGAGCCCCTGGGGCCAGGATCCTCAGTAAAAATAGCCAGATCTACTGATGGGAGTCCACAATGGACTTRGGACTCTGAGGGCTGTGAGGGAATCTCTACCTGATGGAGCTTTGAGGATCCAGGAGGCACTAACCCAGGGTAACTGTCAGGACAGGAGTAGGCCTGGGTCACCTGTTGCCCATCTGAAACCTTTTAGGCCCCCAGATTGTGTGTCCCTGTCTGATGACGCCGAGCAAGGACAGCCTGGGTCCTCAGCTTCACTGGGAGGCTCTGCAGCCGGCYGAGTTTGTGGGAAACCCAGTCCCACCAAGTTCTCAGGAACCTGGGCTTCCTTCTGGGCTCACCTTTCTCATTATGGAAAAAATAAAATAAAAAGTAAAACCTCTGGTAGCTCATTTCCCATGACCAGGTGCTGCCTGCCCCATGGAGACAGGGCGACCTGCTATGGAAGGGATTGACTTCCTCCTGGAAAAAAGTGGCCAGCTTCTAGGGAAATGAGAGTCCCCAGTTGAGCTTCCTGTGGCAGGCAGTGTGGTGACCTGTACCTTGTTCTCAGAAGAATTAGCAATGCTCTCTATTTATCCTCCTCACCAGAGCTCCCCACGGAGGAAAAGATCTCCATTTACCTCACTTCCTTCTTCCCCCCTGTTCACTCCACCCCTCTGCCCTCTGCCTTCTGCCCTCTTGAGGCTCTTGTGTGAGTCTCTGTGTGTGTCTGTGGGTGAGCTTGTAGGAATCTGTGTTTGTGACTGAGGTGTGTGTGTGTGTGTGTGTGTGTGTGTGTGTGTGTGTGTGTTTCCATTTCTGGGAGGAGAGACCACAACAAGAAATGCTTCGACTCTCTTCCTAAGGCCAAGTCCTGGGGCTCCACGGGGCTCAGAATCTCTTCCTTTGACATTGACGGTCAGATGTCTCTTTTCCCAGCTATAGAAGAACACACCATGGGGACATTGTCATCTGTCCACTCTCCCCATACTTCTTTGCACAGAGGGTGCAATTCGGGCCATCCCRATTCCTGGGCATTTTGGGAAAGTGTGTTTGGCTTTGGGGCGACAGATTCAACCAGAGCAATACAGGTCTCTATTAGGATTGCACTTGGTTGCAAGTAACAGAGAGCCCTCTCCTATTGGATGAAATAGATCAGAGCTTATTTCTCCTTGAAGAACCAGAARTGCAGAGGGGACATCCAGAGAGGGTAAGGTGCCCGAGGGGTCCCCTCAGAGATCCAGGCCATCTACATCTCTGCACAGCCTTGTGTCTCCTTGTGACTTCCTCRCCAGCCTGTGATGTCCTCTGCTGTACAGTCATGGCAGTTTGACGGGGCTGTTGTAGGGACCTGAGGAGACAGGGTGTGTGAGAGCATGGATGTTCAGTGGTGGGCTGCAGGAGCCCCAGTGGGGTGCTATTGTTGGAGGGAGGGACGTTCTGTCATGGACAGAATGAAGCCTGGTGATAGTCATGCCGACCTGGACCCGATTTGAGTGGCCTTAGGGACCCTGATGACTTCTCCTCCTAGAACAATGATTTATGGGTGTGGAAGCATAACCAGCCTGCTGTCTCAGACCAGACAGARTCTTGGCAGAATCTTGGGAGGGAGAAAGATCTGGAAAGCCAGCAGCCAGCATCAGCTCGTGTTTCATCAAACAACGGGCCGTTCGGAAGTGCCGGCTGCCCAGAGCAGACACAGAGCCGCCTGCCTSTGCTGAGGATGGCCCCGGGCTGCAGCAGACCTCAGCTGGTGCCTGGTCCCTCCCAGGCAGCAGGGCAGGCCACCAGCTGTGCCAGGCCATGGATGAGAACAGGGCACGGGTCCTCCGTGGCCTCCATCCAGCTTCCACCAAGACAGAGATGACCCGGGCCATGGTGGTGCCCGTGTGTGACTTGGCTCTTCAGCAATAGAGCCACCTTTTGTGACCTTTCTTGGGCCAAGTTCGAGGATCYGAAATGTACTGGCACACAGCTGTATTCCATCAGCACCGAGCGGAATCGGTCTTGGCGTGAATTTGAGGATTACCAGCAGCCTCGTGGAGCSGGCCAAGGGAGGTCAGCTGGCGTGAGCCCCTGTAGTCCCCATCTGCCAGGTGCCCATGCCCACATCAGGGGCTTGAGATTAGGGGACCCTGTGCTATGGGCCCCCCAACATTCACATGGCCAACTTAGAAATGAGCCCATGCAGTCACCCCKTCCTTCATGGGGATGGACTTAAGAGGCTGTAGGGAAAGTCAAAGGTTCCCTCCTGCCAGCCCTTCCCCACCAGCATCATGGTCACCATGCCCCCATGGATCGTAATCTGGGTCTTTTTTTTACATCACTTAATTAAAAACAAATAATAGAGTATGAATTTGAATTTAGGGTCGATGTCAGAAGACAATGTCCTGATGAGATGGGACTGGTCCCAGCACCTCCCGTGGGTCCTGTGCTGTGAGGAGCCAGCAGGTCCACCATCCTCAGGCCTTTGCCCTCCTCTGTCTTGACCGGGGCGCCCTGTGAGCTCCCTCACCCCGGTGCTTCTGGAAGCTTTTCCATATCTGAACACAACTGCAGTAACGAGTGCCTCACCTTCTCCTTTCTGCTTCCTGGGCGTCCTTCTTCCCTCCCCCACTGACCACTCCTGGGCCGAGGCCCCTGGGAGAGGCCKCGTTTCCATCTGCAGACTCGCACCCTCACACTGAGCTGGGACCCCTGGAGACATCCGCCCTTTAGCTCTTGAAGGATCTCTGCTCTCACTTATTTTCCTGGATGTATTTATTCCCTTGGGGACAGACACACACAGCAGCTTGTGGCACCCGTTGAAGTGGCTGGAGGATGCCTTGCCACAGGCCATCCACCACCCTCTTGGGGCTTCCTCAGGGCAAGGGGACAGGCAGAATATTTGCCTCCTTCACCTTCTCTTCTCCTCCCTGTCCACCTTCAGCCCACTGCCTTGGTCAGGTAGATGTCCCCTGCCTGCTGGACAAACCGTCTTTGCCCAGAGCATCATGGCGTTGGTAGAGATGTCTCCTGGAAAGTCCTCTGGCCTCTGGCCTGTTCATTACTGAAAATGGTCCTTAGAACACAGCAGGGGGGGCCTCGGGTTGTGGCAGGAGAGGGTACAACCCTCTACCCCTTTGGAATCTGGAGGAGGGGCGTGGGGCCTGCTCTCCCATGCCGTAACCCCTGGCCCAAAAATCAGGGGCCTTAGGTCTCCTCCCAGCTTGGYTATGGCCTTCCTGTGAGGCCTCAGGAGGTTCCTGTACCTCCAGTCTTTGCACATTTAATCGGGGTTCTACATCACATTACCATTGTGACTCTTTCTAGTGCTGCAGTTTGTGAGTTTTGTGATCTAGAAGCCCAAGCTGTGAATGCCTGGCTACCAAGGAGGCAGGAAGAACAGCCTAGACGCTTCCTCCCTGGGCCTCCCCTCTGATCTACCGACTCTAGTCCTTTATGAGCCCCAGAACCCCACTTGTTTACCCAGAGAATCTGCAAAGAAGCCTGAGAGCCAAGAGAGGAGGGCAGAGAGTCAAGGGAAAGTATACCTCGAAATTCTGACTCTCTCATCCATTCATGACTGGGGCTGCAGGGGCTCTTCCTTCCTATTATTTATTTATTTATTTTTTGGTGGGGATCGGACCAAGGGCCTTGTGTATACCAAAGGCCTTGTGGGTACTACTGAGCTAGCTACACCCCCCAGCCCTTGAAAACRTATTTAATGTGGTCTTTCTTCCTGCACCTTCAGAAGGACTCCCCAGCTTCCCTCTGCTATTGCCAAAACAGCCCTTTTAGGGAGGTTCACTCTGATTTTCATTCCTTATTTCCTGGTTGGCAGCCAACCAGTCCCAGAGCTTCTGGACCAGGTGTGGGCTTGGCCTCCCACCCCCGCTGTTCCCCTGGAGTGGGATCCAGGGGGTGCTCCTGGGTAGGGAGGGACCCCTCTGACTTTCTTCTTGTGTGTCCTTCACAGCTTGTGATTGCCACCCCGTGGGCGCCGCTGGCAAGACCTGCAACCAAACCACTGGCCAGTGTCCCTGCAAGGATGGTGTGACGGGCATCACCTGCAACCGCTGTGCCAAGGGCTACCAGCAGAGCCGCTCTCCCATCGCGCCCTGCATCAGTACGTGCCAGCTCCTCTTTCTTCCATCCTTGGCTTAGGAGGGGGGACCCTATGGGTTTGCTGCATGCTGCCATCCATGATGAGTATCTCTGCATTCCATGCTGGGAGCTCACTGAGACCCTGTGGGAGACCCCGAGCTTGGTTCTGCAGAGCCAGCCTGTTCACGGCCTTCTGTCCTGACACACACAAGTCTCTGGCTCCTGAGAAAAAAGCCCCACTCTCCAGCACGGATCCCATTTCCACATCCTGCCTTGACCCCAAACCTGGTGGGGGTGCTCCTGGCTACAGACACCCCAATATTYCCCTGCCCCAGTGCATTCAGTACAAACAGGACTTAAATCCCAGGGTCGTTGAGAGAGTTAGTCACGGCCTCTGGGCATGGCACCCATAGTCCTTATGAAGGATCATAGCACTTTTGAGGGGTCCCAGGGATCCCCATCRGGCCTCAAGTTTTCAGCCTTTGAGTTGCTGGAGCATGAAGAGGGGTGTGAGCAGGATGGCAGGGGTCACTCAGAAGCCTTGGCTCAGAGRGTTTCAGTATTTTACATCTGCTAGGGTCACGCTGGCACGGCGAGAGGGGAATTAGCCCTGGTTGGAGAGCCAAGCCTAATTGGGAGCTGGCCTCTTCCTCAGCCTGATGATTCCCGGGGGAGGGCTGACCAAGCCAAGAAAGGAGGGCAGGAAAGGCAGCGGATCCCACGCACGAGGCTGAGTCCCAGGAGCAGAGTTTGGTTCTCTGGAGAGCGAGATTGGCAAGCTCTGAGCCTGGGGAGCTGGCTGCTGCTTGCTTTTGTGTGGCCTGGCTCACTGGTTTGAACCATTTTTTAATGGTCAAAGACAAATCAAAGGAAGAATAATGTTTCATGATATATATATATATATACATGTGAAATTCAAAGCTCAGGGTCCATAAATAAAGTTTTATTGGAATAAAGCCGAACCCCTCGTTTACATGCCGACTGCGGCTGCTCTTCAGGGTGGAGTTGAATTGCTGTAGCGGAGACCTGCAGGCCCACAGTATTTACTACCTGGCCCATTTCAGGGGAAGACAGCCAACCTATATTTCAGATTCCATTGTGTCTTAGCTCTGGGTGGGCTCTGGTGATGATGATGAGGGACTTGGAACAACTTGAGAGTTAGGGGTCTCACAAGCCTGGGGGCTGAGGACCCCCTGACACCAGCAGCCACCAGGGTGTCCTTGAGCATTTCCCATAGACCTCACAGACATCCCCTCCTCCAGCAGATGGGAACCTTAGACATTGTACACATCACCTGTCCCAATTAGATGGGGGCCCTTTGCTTCTGGGACAGGCCAGCTGTGTTGGTCCCATCAACAGTTCTGACCAGTTTCTAAATCAAATAGAATTTTTAGAAAGGCAGGAGGAAATCTGGGGTTATGAAAACGTGGAGGTGGGGAGAAGAAATGAGGTCTCCCCTTTTTTTATTTCAGTGCTGGACATGGAACCCCCACATGTACTAGGCAAGGGTTCTGCCACTGAGCTACACCCCCAACCTTTGAGCTCCCTTTTAAAGGGATTCAGGGACCCTCTGGACGTTCAGGAAGGACTGGAACCAATATTTTATTTTATTTTATTTTATTTTTATTTATTTTTTTTATTGGTTGTTCACAACATTACAAAGCTCGTGACATATCATATTTCATACATTAGATTGAAGTGGGTTATGAACTCCCAATTTTACCCCAAATGCAGATTGCAGAATCACGTCAGTGGAACCAATATTTTAGATCCCCTATTGGAAAGACCAAGCTCACAGGAGCTGGAGTTTCAGACTTGGACCAAGAGCATTCCCACCTCCATCCGCAGCCCCAGGGTTCCATCCCGGGATGTCCATGAGCACCTGACACGGAGGTTGGGTGGCCAGTGTGGCTCTGTGGCCATCGCCCCAGCTTAATTCAGGGACTGGCGAGATTAGACTGGACTATGGAGATGGTGCCTCYGGAAGATTTCTGCTGGGACCATCTAGCTTTATAGGGCTCAGAAATGGCCTGGTCCAAGGTCCCAAGTTCCTAATGAGCTGCTGTGGTTGTTGCTAATACRATCACAGAGAGCAAGATCTGGCTCCACACCGAGAATTGTCCTCCATCCATTTTTCAAGGAGCAAACCCTGCCTCCTCCAGGTGACTCCTGCTCCCCAAGCCTGGGTATTCCATTCCTGTTCCCGAAGTCTCAGAGCCTAGTCAATCTAGAACTGGAGTCAGAGGGAGTTCATAAAGCCTAGAGTCGGATGGTGGCGTCAGTGAGATCTGAGGTCAGTCACTCACTAGGGGAAGTGAGTCCCCTCCTCCTAGGGACCACTGATCYGTGGTTTGGCCTTGTCCAGAAAGAGGAAATAAGAACAGGGACCCGGGCCGCTGACACAACTCTGTCCCTGTGAGAACCCTCCCGACAGGAGACAGTCCCTCACAGGACATCCTTGCTCCAGATCCCTTGTCACCTGTGAGTTGCGGTCACAGGTGAGGGCCCAGGTAGCTACCATGATAAGCAAGAAGCCTGGGGAAGCTCCTCTCCACTTCCCGTGGGGCTGATGGAAGTTGATGACACACAGCAGACCTGAGGAGGACTCACAGGTCAGGCCCTGGGTGCAGGGCCAGGCCCCCATGCCACCAGTTCCCTTGTGCTTCTCCCCACTCCTGTCCCTCCTTGACAACCAGTAGCCATGACATCCGTGCCAGGTGAAGGAAAAGGAGAACAGGACAAGGTGCCCAGGACCCCCCCCCCCCCGGAGTTCCCTCTGCGGGCTCGCTCCTCTTCCCTTTTCCAGAACTGTGGATGGGGCAAGGGACGAATAGTTCCAGGGAGCTGGGGAGGAGGCTGTGCTCAGCTCATTCTCTTTCCAAGCTCAAAAATAATATCTTCTTGTTTTCTCCTCCTCTCCATCCTGAACCTCAAAAAGAGATTCCCGTAGCGCCRCCAACCACCGCAGCCAGCAGTGTGGAGGAGCCTGAAGGTAAGTTTCTATTGGTCACTTTTGCTCTCTGGTGGGACAGGAAGTGGGGAGAGCATATTAGAAGGCCCAGATGCCTCTGTCACCCCCAGCCGGGTCTGAATCCTAAAAATTGAGCTGCTTCTGTTGGCCCACCGAGGTGAGGCTGGTCAACCCAACAGCATAGGAGCTACTCCTTCCAGGAGTCCTGGACACAGCGTCCACACACAGAATTCAGGGCACCGGTGAGCCCAGGCGGGAAGAGGGTCACATCTTCACTTTCTTCACTCAAGAGTTTGCCTTTCCTCCATGATGAAGGCAGGCCTCYGACCACAGCTCATTGACAGTGCCTGTGACGAGGCCATGCACAGAAACCATAGCGGTGTTCACATGGCATTATTGTTGATTGCAGATATGTGGAATCTTGTCTGTGTGTGCGTGATTGCTTCCAAATTACAGAAGTGACTAGACCCACACCGAGATGTGCATAATGTACCTGTACCTTGGATTGGGGGTTTTTAAGGTATCTGGGCAACTGTACTCAGTGGTGTCAATTTCCTATGAACCAACGTTCCCTGATGCAGGATGGGATTATGTCATGAAAACCCCATTGGAAGTTGAAAATATCATAAGTTAAAAATGCACCAAATCCTCTTAACCTGATGAATGCGTAGCTCAGCCACAGAACCTGCTGCAGAGTGTCATCTCCCCCTGGAGACGGGAGGCTGACAGGGAGCTCACTGCTGCTGCCCAGTGTCACAAGGGTCTGACGGTGTAGTCCTGGAAAAGATCCAAATTTAAAATCCAGAGTGTGGTTTCTATGAATACACATTACTTTTGCACCATCATAAAGTTGAAAATTGTTAAGCTGAACAATCACTAAGTCGCAACTCTCTGTATTTTACTTTAGCATGGAGAAAATACTACTCTGAAATAGGATCCACAGGGTTCCATGGCACAAGAAAGGTGTTTCAGCCCTGGCTTTGGGCACACATAAGGCCCTTCAGTACGTGGGACCAGAGTCCTGGTCCTGGGTCACCACAGCTTCTCTGCACTGGTATACTTGGAGGTGGAGGGGAAGAGTCCCCAGCAAGGATACCCCTGGGAACCTTTCATTAGATAGGACTATAGAAAGGTGTGGGGGAACTTGCATACCCATGTTGTTATCTTAAATGGATTTTTATTTTTTTATTTTTATTTTTTTTGCGGTGCTGGGGATTGAACACCGGGTCTCACAGGTGCCAGGCAAGTGCTCTACCACTGAGCCACATCTAAAGCCCCAGAATCTTGATTCTTGATACCACCATGACTTGGCAATCATTTGGCCAATCATAAGTGACAGTGATGTACCTGAGTGGGACTCACATGGACAAGCTCTTGGGCTGTGCACATCGTGGGGGCCTTGAAGGAGCTATGTCCACAGCTCATCCCAGGGCAGGACAGATCTGAATGATCTCTCTGTCTCCTCCCATTTTCCCAGACCTTACAATTTGACTTCTTGGAATTTTTTGCAGCAATTCTTAGCTTTTTTTTTTTTTTTCCAAGTCAGAAATGGGAAAATGAGATAGGTGAGGGGAAGGAGGAAAAATACCCCCTGAGATGTCTACGCAGGCTGTTAGAAATGGTGTAAAGGCTGGGTGTAGAGGTAAAGGCTGATATCCAAGATTCTCAGCTCTGCAAGATTCCTGGCGGGGTAGGGGAGGGCTGGAGATTAAACCCAGAGCCTCATGCATGCTAGACAAGCACTCCACATCTGAGCCAAATCCTCAGGCCTTTTTATTTTGGGATAGGAACTCACTAAGTTGCCCAGACTGGCCTCCAATTTGCAATCCTCCTGCCTCAATCTTCTGAGTCTCTGGGATTAACAGTGTGTGCCCTCATACCTGGCTGTGAACGGCACTTCTAAACATCAGTAGAATCCTCTTGAAAATGTCTTCCATAACAGTTCTCTGTTGGTTATTCAATTTTTCTGACTTTTATTTTTAGGTGGGTGGGTTGAACCCAGGGGTGTTTTATCACTGAGCTACATCCCCAGCCCTTATATTTCATTTTGAGGCAGGGCCTTGCTAAGTTTCCCAGAGGGCGTGGAACTTGCAATCCTCCCGCCTCAGCCTCCTGAATTGCTGGAATTATAGGTGTGTACCGCCACACCCAGCTTCTGACTTCTTTTGATTTTGTGACTGTTCATTGCTTTTGTTCTTTCTGAACCTTTATCAATATGATATTAACTGAAGCAAGCAGTAAACTAACATGCTGTTCAAGTACTTTCCTCTAAAAGGAGCAGGGCAGAACAGGTTTGGAGCTTGGAGTTTTGGCTTGACCTTTGCTGACCTGCCCTGGTATCTTTGGGGGACATGAACCAACCCCAGGATCCAAATGCTGGCCTGTGGGTCCTCCTGTGCAGAGAAGCTGGTCCAGCCTTGTCCCAATGGGCCCAGATACTGCGGGCTAGAGGCCAAGAAGGCTCCTGGGAARCGGGGCCTGGGAGCTCCGTGCTTCCAAACCTGTCGGCTCTTGCTCTGTCTGAGCAGGGAAGGAAGGCCCCTGGGAGAGGCTGCCTGAGAAAGGCTTATTTACTTTTGTCTGTGTAATAGAAGAGAGAATTAATAAGCCAAGAATTTGTTCTAAAAGCTGATGGACATAACCTCACCCTGAACCCCCCTCCCCCTGCCAAAGGGCCAGCTGGCTCAGGGAATGTTCTTTACCTGCCCCCTGAGCTAGCAGGTGAGCCGCCATGGACAGGGCGGCGAGGGACATGGTGCCGTGGGAGGCCTGAGGCTGAGGATGCCAGGAAGGGAGGGGTGGACCCCCACTCATAAAGGGTGTCATGTCCAAGGCYCCCCCTGGCACACACCTACTTATTGGTTGTAGAGACCCCAACACCAGGGCTCCAAGAGGGACCCATTTCCCTCCATCAACTCCAGGGAAGTTCTTGAGTTTCAAATTGTCCTTGTGGAGGCCACTTGGTTCAGTGGGAGGAGCACTGGTCTAGAGCCAGCAGATCTGGGTGGATCCTCCCCTGGCTCTGAGGACTTGGACCGTCTGCCTCCCTTGAAGAATGCAGGGTGGGACCAAGGGCTCCCAGGGCCCTTGAGGCCTGGCTCTCCATGCTGGGAATGACCCTCTGTTCCTGCTGGATTTTTTTGGTTTGCAGAACTGAGTGCTGCTTCCCCTTCCACCTCTGACAATCAACTTGGCCCATGATCCCTTGCAGCGGGCCGGGCGGGGGGGGGGGGGGGGGGG